CGCTGTGGGTAACTGGTTGTGACCAAGCAGTGACCATAAGCTAGCCCCTTGTCAGTTGTACTATACTCCTGGGGATTCTGATCCTTCACATAAACTTATAGGACCATTGTCTGTCAACCCTATATATGATCCTGGATACACTCCCTCCTTCATAGACATAGTTAATCGTTTTGGCTGTGTTCTTTACCTGGAAGACTGACGACTGTGCCAAATGTGTCGTAGTTAATATTAGCATCACAAGAATTCTCTAGATTAAAAACAAGAAAAAGTGATTGAACCTAGAACTACATTCAGTTCTACAATTTCCTTTTTTTTTTTATCAGTCTCTATTTCTCTGATGAGATTTTCTATCTTTTCATTCATTATGAGAATACTAAACCCATTGCTGTGGAGCTGATCCCTCTAAGATAGAATAGAACTGCCCATATGGTTTACAAAATTGTAATCTTTACAGAAGCAGATTACCCTCACTGGTGGTTTCAAATCTCTGACTTTTCAGTTAACTTCCAACTGTTTACCCACCAGGCTAAGCCTTATGAAGGGCACCACTAGGGCTCCTTATGACTATAGTAGGACCCATAAAAGCTAGATTTATGTTAAAAAAAATGAAATAATAAAAAATAGTGTATTTTAGGTCTACATAGTCTATTTTAAGGTATTGATGTGTACCATATGCTTGATTTGGCTGCTGACAAAAATATGTGAGCTATCAAAATCAATAAATAGATTAATTCTAATTCTTCAGAGGCTAATGCTCACATGTAATTCATTCTGTAATGCTTTCACTCATTTAACAAACATTTTCAGTCATTCCATAGTGATACTGCCTCAGAAACCCAAAGAGGGATCACTTTGAGTCAGATCTGACTCGACAGCAGTGAGTTTGGTTTTGAGTTTACCACATGAGGTTGTTTGGAATAATAAATGATATAATTATATTCACTAAGTGCCTAACGTAGCAACAAGCATCTAGTTTCAGTGGTTTTTCTGTACCACTTTCATAGAAGAGAAATCTGAGGCTCAAATCAATAAAATTACTTGCCCAGGACACCTCAGACCTAGAAGATAAATTAAATACAAAGCAGTAAGTGGTAACAAAATGTAAAGTCTTACCTGAGACCAGAGTGTACAAGGGATTAACTAGGCCTGTGAAGTCTGGGAAAGCATCAAAGAGGAAGTAGTAACAAATGATTCTCCCAACATTCTATTCATGTCTTTCTGAAGATTTGGGGCAGTTTTAGGTTAATCAATTGCTGACCTTTCCGTACATGCCATAGATCTTCAGTCTTAGGTTGCCTGGTTAAGCACTCTACAGTTAACCAAAAAGTCAGCAGTTGCAACACAACAGCTTCTCTGTGGAATATTTGGCAGCCTGCTTCTGTAAAGATCACAGCCTTGGAAACTCTTTGGAGCAGTTCTACTCTGTCTTATAGAGCAGCCATGAGTCAGAATCAACTTGATGCCAAGGGATGATCTTTATTGAGAAGTCTCTGGAAGGTGCAAACAATTAATCACTTGACTGCAAACTGATAGGTTGGCCTTTTCAAACCCACTCAGAGTCACTCAGAAGAAAGTCCTGGTGATCTGCTTCCAAAAGGAAAATCCTTGAGAACTTATGAAGCTCAGTTTGACTCTGCATCCAAAGGATCATCTTGAGTTAGAATGAATTCAATAGCAAGTGGGGCAGGGGGGAGAAATCTTTAATGAGCACAATTTTACAAGTTTTTCAGTCCTAATCAGTTTTTCTCTCAGAAATTGCAAGTGGAAATGAATAAGGAAATAACTGGTTTGAAATATTTTTCTAGAATTTGTCTAGGATTATTACATTACTCCTTATTTTGGTTACCTCTAGTGCTGCTCTAACAGAAATACCACAAGTGGGATGTTTTAACAAACAGGAGGTTTATTCTCTTACAATTTTGGAGGCTTTAGGTCTGAGTTCAAAGTGCCGGGCTCTAGGGGCTGGATGAAAATCCCTCAACCTTGGGTTTCAACTCTGCCTCCTGCTTCCGGCCCACTGAAGCTGAAGGCTTTTCTTCTCTCAGGCAGCTGCTGGCTGCTGAGGCTGACAAACTGAAGGTTGACAAGTGAAAAGTACAGTCCTGATATTACCAAACCACACAACAGGCCACTGATTTAAGTCCATTGAAAGTCCCAAGAGCAGCAGAGCATGGCAGGCTGCTGAACAATGACTCAGCTACATACAGGGTTCAAGTGTGCCATAAGCTAGAGACCATTCTCAAAGCTGCTGCTTATATACAGGAAACAGACCACATCCCTCAAGCAGCCACTCAGCTGTTTGTGGTAAATCCTACCATGAAGTTGATTGCCAGTCTCCTCATGGGGAATAACCACCACCAGCTCCCCAGCCACTCTACTAGGTCCAGCCAAGTTGACACACCACCTTAACTACCACACTTGTCTTCAAGTGAAATAGAGTACTTCTTCAAACCATACATACCAAACAAAACTCACTATCGTCAATTCAATTCCAACTCATAGCAACCACTATTGGGTTTCCAAGCCTATAAATCTTTATAGAAGCAGACTGCCTCATCTGTCTTCCCTGGAGCAGCTGGTGGGTTCAAACTACAGACCTTTTGGTTAGCAGCCAAATGCTTTAACCACTACACCACCAGAGCTCCTTTCAAACCTTATAGCTCCCCCAGTATAGCTGAAACTAAGAACTTCCCTGGAAGTTGAGTGTCAAGATGGCTTTCATTCATTCTTTCATTATTATTCACATGACATTTATTGTACTTTTATTACAAGGCAGTCCAAGAACTGTGAGTAGTTTTTCAATGAAAAAACTACTGAAGTAAAATCCTGAAAAGATCATTAATCATTAGAGAGTTAATCTCTCTTTTTCTGCTTTTCCTTTGTAACTGAAATACTTATGTAATTTTATTTTACAAAGTAATGCTTATCATGAACATTGATTTTAGAATTATCCCGCAATGCTTTTGTTGCTCATCATCTGAATTTGACCTCCATTTCCTTTCTTCTCTTCTCTTAAACAGGATGCTACAACTTTCCACGTAACCGTCCAAGATGATAATAACATCATTGTCTCTTTGGAAGCTTCAGATGTTATGAGTCCATCATCTGTATATGTTGTGAAGATAACTGGTGAATCCAAAAATTACTTCTTTGAATTTCAAGAATTCAACAGCACTTTGCCTCCTCCTGTTATCTTTAAGGCCAATTATCATGGACTTTATTACATAATCACTCTGGTCGTGGTAAATGGAAATGTGGTGACCAAGCCATCCAGATCAATCACTGTTTTAACAAGTAAGTATCATGTGTGACATTGTCTTCTGTGTTTCTTTTCTTATTATTTATTTTTGGTGAAAATATGTACAGCAAAACCAGCTTCCATTCCCCAATTTCTAGACTGAATGATCAGTGATATTGGTTACATTCTTCACATTATGTTCACATTCTCATTATTTCTGTTCTAGTTGTTTAACTTCCAGTTAAACTCCCTGCCCTATAACCTTCTTATCTATGCTTTAAAATAGCTGTTGACTTTTTGATCTTATACAGATTTTTTTTCTTTTAATGCAATACAAAATTTTATTGTTTGTGCTAAACTGTGCCTTCGTTTAAAGGTGACTTAGGGAATACTTTCAATTCAAGGTTTGAAGAGCAACTCAGGGTCATAATCTTGGGGACTCCTCAAGCCTCAACAGTTCTAGTAAACCTGGACACTTTAAAAATTTGAAGTTCTGGTTCACATTTTTCTCCCTTTTTTGGGGGGATTCATCCATTGTGTTCCTGATCAGAATGTTCAGTAGTGGTAGCCAGGCACCATCTAGTTCTGGTCTCAAAGTGGAAGATAACTAGTCCTCTAGTCTAGTTTCTTCTCTGAATCTTGTGTTTTCTTCTCTGTGTTTTGTTCCAGATGAATAAAGACCAATAGTTTTGTCTTAGATATCTGCTCATAATATTTTAAGACCCCTGATACAACTCATAATACTGGGAAGTAGAACATAAACTTTTAAGAATTATATTGTGCCAATTGAGTGGATTGTCTCATGAGACCATAGTCCTAAGCCCCCAAACCAAGAGAACTAATCCCATGAGGTGACTGGTTATATCTAATTAATGTCAGCATCTGTAGCACCCCCACACACTTTTTTTTGGTTGTTGTTATTGTTGCAAAACCACATACAATCTAGTATTTGCACATTCTTCCCTTTTCCCTATGTACAGCTTACTGACATAAATGACATCAGCCATGCTATGCAAACTTTATCAATATTCAGTGACCACAACCTCAGGAGTACTTCTTCTCCTCCCCATCCTGTAACCAATAATGAAGATTAGTTTATGTATATTCATCTATTCATGTCATTTCACAAAGTTGAGAACATATAATACTTGTCTTTTTGTGATTGATTTTTGAGGGTGTTTTCATGGGACCCTAATTAAAAGAAAGTCAGCCCAGAATGGCCGTTGTTAACAAGTTGTAAAATAAAAGATACACTGGGAGATAATAGATTAAGGCAGCAGATCTATGTTTATAAATTCCTATGATACAAACTTATTTGTCAATACATACTAAAGGCAAATAATTAACGTTCTGCTTTATATTAAGAATATAGCGTATTGCCAATGTTTTATAATGGTCTAGTGTTAACATTTTGCTAAACACAAATCTGTTCTAAAGCAATAAAAGTAAATCTTAATGAGGTAGCATATTTTGGAACTGAATGACAATTTTAGAATAATGATTGGACCATGTAAGTTTCTAATATATTATGTAACAGTGTGATCATAGCTACTGTATTGATTTTTAGGCAGAACATATATTAAATAGTTTTAGTTTGTCTGAGTTCTGAGATACAGTAGTTCTTCTTATATTTAATCTAGTCTAATTCAATTATACTTTTTAAAAAAGAAAAAGAAAAAAAGCTCTTGTTAATAGCTATTCCCCACATCACTCTCAAAGTAGTCTTAGCTTCCATAGCCTGCCCACCCCACCCCAAAAAATTGCCTACAAAAAAAAAAAAAAAAAATCATTGGCATTTTAACCTTCAAAGGCCCAGGTCCTGCAGAGTTCATGATATTAGGAATTTTTTGGAATTGTTTATCTATATAAGGTTTTCACTTTACTCTCTAATAGCTAATCTCAAAATAAAATAACTCTACCAGGTATGTTGAGGTTTGGAAGGAAAACTGCTATCTATAGGATGCTAGGTTTATCACTAGGGTAATTTAATGGCTCAGGGAAGTTGATCTTGTTTTATTTTCATTATTCTTCAGTGCAAATTTTCCAACAGCTACAGTTTTCAAATGCCAGCTATATGTGATCATTCTGCCTACAATTAAGGAATCTATTAGGATAAAAGAAGAGAAAAAAAGGAGAAACAAGGATTCAGAACCAAACTGGAGGGCATGTTTTCAACTTGTCTGTCAAAAAATAAATAATATCTTCTTTGGTAGAGTCCCAGGATCAGTTTCTACCCTTAAGGTTAGGAATGGCACAGATCTCAAACCATCAAAGTTTATAGATAAAATGAACAAATCTAGGACCTAGTTGAATTTGTAAAAAGAACTTGTCTGGAAAAATACTGCTTTAAAGAAGTTCCAGAAAATGAAGAATTGGGAGTTAATAGATAGAGCAAGTAGATCTAGATTTATAATTCCTATAATACAAACTTCTTAAAGTTAGATGCTCTGCCTTACTCATCTGTTTAACGTGATAAGGGCCTAGCACAAGTCTTAACTTTATATATAAGTGTTCAATAAATATTAGTTCAATTTAGTTGATTGAGTAACAAGAGAAAAAGTCAACAAAAAACAAGACTGAGTGCAAAACAAAACAGAACATAAAACTATGGTGATCATTACTGACCCAATATTTTTTTAGTATGAATTCAGCCACTCCCAATCAGACAAAGCTCAAAGATTTGGCCTTTTAGCTAATGGTTCGTGAAGAAAATTCATAAATAAGTAAATGCTAACATTTTTAATAGGATATTTTAGCACTTGCAATGAGTTCTATTAAAAATATGTTCTAATTTCCTTTGTGATTTCTTCTTTGACCTGTTGTTTCAGAACTGTGTTGTTGGATGTCCAAATATTTGGAGATTTTACAGATAACATTTTGTTGTTGGTTTCCAGTTTAATGCTGTTGTGGTCAAACAATACACTTTTTGTTATGATTCCAATTCTCTTGAAATTGTTTTGATCTGTTTTATGGCCCAGAATAAGCTCTATCTTTGGTGAATGTCCCATGAAAATTTGAAGAGAATATCAATTCTGTTACAGAGTACACTTTCAATACATGTCAATTAGGTCATGTTGGTTGATATTGTTATTCAGATTGTCTCTGTCCTTACTGATTTTCTGTCTACTTGTTCTCTTGGTTACAATACAGGACTGTGAAAGTCTCCAACTGTAATTGTGGCTTTGCCTATTTCTTCTTTCAGTTCATGCTTTATGTATTTTGAAACTCTATTATTATAGTGTTAGGTGCAAACTCATGTAGAATTGCTATGACTTCTTGATGAACTGCCATTTACCTACATGTAGTGTTCTTCTTTATCCCAAGTAATATACCTTGTATTGAAGTCTATTTTGCTTGATATTAATATCACCATTCCAGCTTTTTTTTGTTAAGTGTTTCCACAGTATACTTGCTCCATCCTTTTACTTTCAACCTGACTATGTCTTTGTAAGTAAACAGGGTTGGTGTAGACAGTATAGAGTATTGCTTTGTATCCAATCTGAAAATCTTTGCCTTTTATTTGGGATGTTTGACCAGCACTATTCAATAACAGTATAAGTCAAACCACATATGTAATATTAAATTTTCTGGTAGACACATTAAAAAAATTAAGATGAATTGAATTTTAATAATATTTTTAGCCTATTATATTAAAAATATTATTTTCAACATATAATCAATATAAAAATTTATACCTACTTCAGTTTTTATTTTTAAACATAATTAAAATTTCTAGTGCTTATTAAGGAGCTCTGGTAGCATAGTGGCTAAAGCACTTGACTGCTAACCAGAAGGCTGGCGGTTCAAACCCACCAGCCACTCCTCGGAAGGAAGGTTGGGCAATCCTACTTCCGTAGTGATACTGCCTCGGAAACCCAAGGAGGGGTCGCTATGAGTCCGGGCCGACTCCACGGCACATAACAACAACAACAACAGTGCTTATTAACCATATGTTTTTTTTTTTTTTAATGTGCCGTTGAGTCAGACCTGACTCATAGCAGCCCCTCCTTAGGTTTCTGAGGCAGTATCAGTATGGAAATGGCTACTAATTTATACAGTGCAGATTTATATCATTTATATTAAGTAACTATTTATAGGGGTAAATTTAAATTTACTAGATTGACAGACTTTTAGTGTGGGATACTGAGTCAGTCTAGCCAATAATTGAGCTGGGTTTTAAGGTTTTAGTTACTTTCAGTTCATCACAGATTTAAAATCCGTCCAGTGACAGATTACTGTTAACTTATGCTTAGTGTGGGGCCAGGAATGGTAGATGAGTTTTCTCCATGTCCTACTTCTGCCCTCAGTGTTCATCAAGCCTCGAACACCTGTACTACTGAGGACCTTTTCTCCATAATTTTGCAATAGATTGTTGCTACTTTTTACTCTATGCTGTTTGTGGTGGAGGCAAGAGAGGTTTTGGCTCTGGATCAGCCTCAGTTATACGAAGACTCCAAGTCCTGGATTTTGGGACATTCTCACCATTGCTATTCCTCACTATCTACTGACAGACAAGTTATGCCTTGAATCTGTGAAAGGTGTTAGGTAGAAGGTTTCCTGCCTCTTCTCCAGAAGTGGCCCACCTCTGCTTTCTATCAGTACAGGATCATGGGCCCAAAAGGGCTCCTGCTTCTCTCCCTGGGGTAAACATCTCCCTCAGAAGGGTGGATTTCTGCCCGGGAACTGTAAATAAAACAGTGTATTAAGACCTCTGCTGTGTATTATGGAAAGGCCCTGGGAAGTGAATCTCTTAGTAGTGCCAATTATCCCCCGCATGCCTGTGGAACTGAGGCAGGACTCTTACTAGGCCTTTATCCTAGTCCCAGTCTTTCTCCTGAGTACTTGGCTAAGGCCCACTAAAACAGCTGGAGAGTGAATATGGGCTCCACTTGTTTCCAGGACTCCTGGTTATTCTTCACCAACAATGATCTAGAACTTTTAGATGATGGACACATTCTCTATCTGTACTGTTAAAAATTTGTTGCAACTAATTATTAATTTTATCTGATAAACTTTAATTTTAACTTAAATGGTCACATGGAGCTGGTAACTACCT